GGCCTGGAGCTCGGCCTGTTTCTTTTTCTCCGCTTCTTGTTGCTTCAAGAGCTCGGCTCTTTCCCTCCAATTCATATCTTTCATCTTTTTCATCATGGAATGAACGTCCTCTTCTGATGAGCTCGAAGCAGATAAGCTGGAAACCGACGAACCCGCGTGGAGAGCTCTAGCTTTTTCGACTCGCCGAAGAGAGAAGTGCTTCAACCAGTTACACTTTCGCGCTGCAAGGGTTTCACTTAAGGAATAAACACCGTCTGGACACTTAGGAAACGGATGAGGAACTGCAAAGCAGGTGAAAACAAGAGTTAGAGTTAGGTTAAAACTCGAATAAATATATATATGGCACGAAAACACGACGAGCTGGGCCAAAAACGGGCAATGGGTCGGCTACCCATTCGATGCCAGCTCGTCTTAATTAGCCCAACACCATCTTCTAATGTCGCCTCGCGAATCGGCACATAGAAAAAAAAATCAATCCATTGGCGATCTTTGCTTGGAAATCCCCTAATGATGCGACGATCCTTCTTGTTCGACGCGTAATAGACNAANTTGTTTTTNGGNGAGGATTGTCTGAATTCNANAAGNTTCAACAAATGGTAGGCACTAATGTCCTCATCGCACTCATAGCCGCGAACAAGAATTCCAACCATATGACGAATTCCTCGGGGAGTGATCTGGGAAATAGATAGCTCGAGCTCTTTCAAAAACTCCAAAATAACGTACGGGATCGGAAACCATAGAAAGCAGTCGCGGAAGTAGCTCTCATACACCGTAAAAAATCCTTCTGGGGGCTCGTCAGCTCGACAATAAGAAGATGGTACCAATATCTCAACATCTTCAGAAAAGTGGCAGCTCTCCCTCAAGTCATGAAGAGAGTCCTCTGTCGAAAGGGTTGAACCAGGTGGATCGGAAACACTCCTTTTGATTCGGCGTTTCTTCTTATCTGGCTGAGATGGTTTGGCTAAGCCAAAGACCGTTTGTAAGCCTCAGTATGTACAGCAGTTTCGAACTCATTCGGTTCGGTTTTCACTTCAAGAGGCTCGTCAAGAAGGCGGAACTCGTCCACAACGAGAGGATTCGGCTCGGCAACATCTGTTCCCGACTTAGATAGACCGGCTACGGAATTACCGGAATCACCAGGACTTTCGTTTCCTTTTTCTTTTTCCGAGATAACTTTGGTATGAGGACGAAGCCAAGAGGACACGACCCGGGATTGGGTCTCAAGCTTCGAACTTCCGGAAGACATTACGATCGGCAAAGAACGACCTCAGCAAAGAAATTCGCGACTTCTTCAAATTAGCTCGGCTCGACTAACCTTCAAAGCAAGCTCGGCATAAGAAATCGACAAAATTGGCCTCAAATCTCTACACTTCACCTCGGCACCACGATGTCACAACAAGCCGGATGCGACGGAGCGAGCTCAGTGTGGTTCCGTTCTGCTTTACGGCGATTTCAAACAGATCGGACGGTGGTAACGATTAGAGAATTCCGGAAGAGAGACGAAGAGACGGCTACGGCGTCGACGAAGAACTTAGGAGAACGACGGAAACAAGAGACGTGGTGGCGCGGCACGTAGTGGGTGTAACCCTAGAAGACCTGAATAAATAATAAATAAAAAGGGAGAGAAAAGAGAGAGTTTTCTACCTTTGGAGTTTGGAGAAAATGAAGTTATGAGAGAAAGGAGGGAGGACCAAGTATGAATAGGCATTCGAAGCAATGAATGATGGCATCGTATCTCGGGAACTGGTGACAAACAGTTTTGATCTTTGCCAAGATTAAAATTTTTACGAAATTTTTACGATATTATATTAGGACAAGTCGAATAAAAATGCTTGCCAGTCACTTCGGCATGTAATAACTTTAACGAAACAAGCTGGACTCGTCCTACTTATACAAGTCAAGAAAAGCTCGTCGTCTCGTCCTACTTATACAAGTCAAGATGAACTCTTCAGCATTGACGGATCATGGTAGGCTCGCCTTTCTTTAACAGGAGGGCGATGTAGTGAGCTCGCCAATATTAACAAAGCGATTTGAGCTCGCCATTTCTAATGAGACAAGCCGAGTCCGCCCCGCATTTCGAGTTATGGTCGCCAACAAATTGGGCTCGCCAACAAAAAAAAAAAGAGAATGGTTGGGCTCGCCCAGAGCAAAAGCAAAAAATTGGGCTCGCCAACGACAAAAACAAGGGCGAGCCGAAGTCTTACCAGAACAAGCTGGGCTCGCCCAAAGAAAGAAAATCAGAATTTGCGCCAAGTGTAAATTATCAAAATATCACGAACACTTGCTAGAAGGATGGCGACCCGAAAAACTTCGGCATGACAAGATTGAGCTCGCCAATTCCAACAGAAACCGGAGGGAGAGCTCGGCATCAATTTCAACACGACATTGCGTATGCATGTACAGCGATCTTTAGCTCGACATTATCATAACTGATAAAACCGAACTGGGGGCTAACTGTTGGGGTCAAAACTGCCCTCGACTGAAATTGCAATGATAATGACTGAGTGTTATTTTAGAGGCGAGCTCACTAAGTCAACGATTTAGTGGCAAGCTGACTGAGTCAGNTTCTTAATGGAAAGCTGACTGGGCCGACAAATCAGTGGCGAGCCCATTTGGTTGGAGAGATGAGTCAAGCATGCATATCTTGGGTCAAGTTCGAGCTGTACAAAAGTAACGGCGAGCCCGAGACTAGCTGTGACGACTTGACGAGCCGAACGGTGACAAGGCCCAAGATAGGAGACGGAGAGGTCAAGCCCAAGAATAGTATGCGATGGGCCCAGAGCCCACGCAGACGAAGCCCTAAACAAGACCGACTTCGATAAAAGGAAATCCCGAGAAATGAGGGATCTTTCCTTATCTCTGTAGGGTTTGGCCTAGCCGACCGAAACTTGTATATATGCTCTTGTGATTCCTCTGTAAAAGGGGGCAACTGACTGCAAAATTATTCGAGACAAATTAATAAAGCTTTCTCTTAACAGCCATCTCATCTTGTTCTGGTGGTTCTAACTCAGAGATCTCAGCTTTCCTCTAAAAACTCTTACAAATTCGATTGTGTTGGTTTCACCTTCCACAGATACACAAACCTTTTTTTTACCATATGAAAATTTTATTAATAGATTTTTTTTGGTACTTAATAAAGTTGGAATATAAATA